TATATGGCCTGTGTGTCAAGCACTTTTAAGTGACTTTACAGGCCAGGATTAATGAGATGCTGCCTTCTGCTTTTGTCCAAGCATCACAGATGCTAGGACATCTCTGGTGGTAATTTTGAAGTTTTCATGGTCAAAAGAATTTGTAGGTCTAACAGGATTGCAAATGTGCACTGTGAAAACAACACTGTGGGCTGGAAATCAAAACACCTGGATCCTTGTCCTAGCTCTGCTGCTAACTTGCTGAGTAAATTTAGGCAAGCCCATTCTTCATTCTAGGTCTCGGCTTCCCCGTATGTAAGTTGAGATAGTTGGATTGAATGGTCTGAAAGCATACTATAAATTGATGCTTTTGTTCCACTGTTGGAGAGGGAGGAAGAGAAGGCAGAAGGCTGAGAGGAAGTCCCTCCTCTCCATCTGGAATTTCTGCAGTGGAGACATTTAATCTGACTGAAAGACAAGAGAGGCAGGGCCTGGAGGGCTGGGAGGGGCTGCTGTGCCTTCAGGGAGGAGGATGTCCAAGGAGCACCATTCCACCCACCTCCAGATGCCTTGAGGTGATAGATGGAGACTATTGATACCTGTTGGAGGACATCCTTGGCTCTGCTGGGTGGGGGTTGGACCCTGGTGGGGTAACGTGGGTTTCATTTTTCCTCTGCCATAAACTTGGGGCTTATGGATGCCATGGAGCTGCCAGGAGAGATTAAAGTCAAGGCTGGCACCCTAATTCTAATGCACAGTGAGAGACCACAAGTATTCCAGCCAGGATGGTGTGAACCAGAGTAAGATACGGGTGAGGCTGATGGTGTGTCAGCAGATGAAGAGCTTCTGGAAGAGTGATGCTACCCCCATGGTCTGTTCACTCTGGCCAGATACAAGGGATGCTTTTGTCCTCAACCCTACTTTCTGAGTCAAGGGCAAAAGTTGAGGGAAAGAGGAAAGAGAAGGCAGGGTAGGAGGTGTCTAAGGTATGTAGACCCAAGTTGGAACTGCAGCAGGAAGGATTTGGGCTAGACACAAAAGATTTCTAAACAATAAAGATTGGGAACCAGTGGAGTAATTTTTCTCATAAATAATTGAGGTGAAACAGTTAACTGTAAGAAACTGGTGATCTAAGCATCTAACAAAATGGAAACAGCTGAGTGACAAAAATTGTGATTGGGGTCCCTGCATGTTCTGTGTGTCCTCCACTGCCATAGAACTGAGCTGAATTAGTGCAAAAATTAGGACTTCCATTTTATAGATGGAAAAACAGAGGATCAAAGAGAAAGTGGCTCATGGAGACCATAAAAAGAATGAGCCAAGGAATTGAAACTACAACTGAGATTTTCTGGCCTTCATTCCAGGCTCTTTTCTTTGCCCTTACCATATGGGTGGACCTTTGCAGGCCAGCCCTTGCTCCAAAGACTTCCTAAATGAAGCAGGTGACAAAGCAGGCCCAGGAGTGGGTTCTTGGCTTTGAACAGGGTAGAGATGGTGGGATAGTCCAAAAGACAAAGAATGACCCTGACAATGTGGAACCCAAAGAAAGAGTTCCACAGGCAAGGTCAAAACTCAGAGATCTGGCAGAAAGGCCTGCTCAACACTGCAGGGAGGGCCACGGGAGGCTGAGATGTCAGAGATGGCTGTAAACAGGGGACAGCCCAGGGCCTGAGGGTTTGCTTGGGGGAAACCTCCTTTGTGCAACACTCCTGTGCCTGGGGAATCAGTGAGGGCAATCCAGAAAGGCCCTTAATACCCCCATAGTCACAGTATGACCTTGGGATTAGAGAAACAGAAGGGACTCCTTAGGGTCAACCCAGGAGTCACAGTGGGCCAAGAGCTTCTCCCTCCTGAGCATTGCAGTTTCATGCCCCAAACAGTGGCCTGAGGGCCACATCCAGGGTCAGGCCCTTGCACATCATTATCCCATCGATTCCTGCCTATAGTCCTGTAAGGTGGACATTGTGTTCTCAATTTCATGATGGAAAAATCAGGCTTTAATTATAAAGTAAAGGAAGGGGCTTGCCGAGGACTCATCAATAATACAGCACAGAGGTGGGATTTGAACTCAACTCTCTGACCAGAATTCCAGGGGGCGGGGGGCGGGTCTTGTCCTTTGGTCCTCCAGGATCCCCACTCTAAGGGACCTCATACTCTCCAACCTCAGGAAGTAGACCTGGGTTCTGGGCAGGCTAGACACCAGCGTTGCAGGGGTGATGGGGGAACTGAGGGTCTAGTAGGGACAGCCTCCTGCCACTCCTCCATCTCCAGACTCCTCTCTTCTCCCAGGATCCCTTGCTCTCCCTCCAGAGCTCTCAGACTCAGCACCCTTGAGGAAACCCTGTCCCAGGGAAGAGAGCACTGGAGGGGCATTCTGCTTTGTTCATACCACTGACTCCCGGGCACCTGGCCTGGCTGCCCTTCTGCCATATTCCTTTGGAAGGAGGGTTGTAGGCAGCCTTGGGTAGACTGAAATTCAACCCACACCCCACAACCAGGCCGCTTAGACATCAGCATGGAGCATACAGAGGCCTCTCCCTTGTTGCTTTAGTTATTTTGGCTCAAGAATGATGCAGCCCAGATCTGAGGGGAAGATGGAGAGGCTATTTCCAATATTTCCTCCTGAGCTCTTCATGCCCCTGAGATTCCCCTTAGTACCTGGGAGGAGAGGGACAGAAGTCAGTGGTCTGTAAACAATAGTTTTAAGACGGATTGGGGACTGGTAAGGGAGAAGGAGGTCCCAGAGCCCACAGCGCTGTGGTGAGCTGGCAGGGAGAGCCAAGGACTTGGACCTCAGACCCTCAGCTGAGCTCACCCCAGGCCCAGTCTCAGCCAGTTATGGGTAAATGGCCTCCCTCCCAGGACTAGGATTGCACAGCCGAGCAGAACTGCCAGCCCTGAGAACCAGTTTGAAGGGTCCTCTGTCCAGGCCAGTAGGATGGGGGGCTTGTTGGTCTGGGGCTCCATAAGACTCCAAGCTTGCATTTCAAGAGCCCATTTGCCTCAGCAGAGTGGCCCTACCACGGAGCTCTCTCCAGCTTGTTTGCACTGCTGGAATCCCTGTCTCCAGTTATCGTGTCTCCCGCCACACCCAGCTCTGTCCTTCAGCCAAGCCACACACATGGAACTGCTTTCATCTCCCTACTTTACTGGGCCTGCCCCTTCCCAAGGGTTCAGGGACTTCACTCCTCTGGATTCCCTCCAATTTTTCTCCATCGCCCCCATGCTCAGGGACATTCAGCTGCACAGTAGCCTCAGAGGAGAGGCGGGAGGCTTGGGAGCTGCAGCAGAGTGGCCTGTTCCCCAGGCCGCACTAACATCAAGGAGGGGAGGACATTTCATATGTCTCTCAGCCTCCCTCCTTCCTTCTAGAGCCTGAGGTGGTGGTGGTGGTGGGGGGGGGGGAAATGGGGCCATCTTAGTTCAGTCAGCAAATGTCTCTGAGCAACTCTGATATGGAAGACCAAAGGGGTCTGACTTGGTTCCTGCCCATGAGGGCCTGGCAGACCAGTAAAGAGGTCATATTATTAATGACAATAGCAATAATAATACCATGACAGCACTTACCCTGTGGCAGGAGCTTCCCTTAGCACTACATACAGATTAATCATTTCCTCCTCATAAGGGCCCTATGAGGCAATAACTATCCATTTTATAGGTGAAGAACTGAGGCTCTATGAGGTATTGGACATTGTTCTAGGAACTAGGGAGTATCAGAACTGGGGTTACAAACCCAGGGTAGCTGACTCTAGGGCAGTGGTTCTCAACTTTGGCTGCACATTAGAATCACCTGGGAATCTTTTTAAAATCCTGATTTCTGGGCCTCATCCTCCGGAAATTCTGTTTCTTTGTTATGGGTGGGGCCACAATATTAGTAACAAAGAAACAGAATTTCCGGAGGATGGGGCCCAGAAATCAGGATCTTAAAAAGATTCCCAGGTGATTCTAATGTGCAGCCAAGGTTGAGAAACACTGTCTTAGAGGAAGCAGTATTTTCCAAGAGCCTTGCAGGGAAGTTGAACAGGCAGAGAGGTGGCACGTCATGCAAGGTGAAAATAATAATAGGAGCAATGAGCCAGAAATAGGACATTGACAATCAGGTTCAGAGAAGGCAAGGAGCTCAGCAAGGCAAAGACTGGGGAAGCAATGGGTCCTCTGGATGGCCAGCTTCAAGGAGGGGCAGAACTGCATCAGAGGCTGCTTTCAAATCTCACTGGGGCTGTAGGGAGAGAATACAGTCATTGTCAGGCAAGAGATCACCCTGTTCTGTTCTGTGGTGGCTGCAGTGGGAAATGTCAGAAATAATGGAGTGACTGGAATTGGTCCCAAAATAGATGCCAGGTGTAAAGGAGAACGGGATACTGTGGAGAGGGAGCAGGACACTGTAGAGGGGGAGCAGCTGGGTCGGTGGACCATTTGGTTTAGGACATGGGGAGTCTGAGGTAACTGTGGGGAAACCAGCAATGAACAAGGGGAGCCTTTCATAGTTTCAGTGTAGAGTCCATGACTTCAAAGGCTGAGAAACTGTGCCAGGAAGGAAGGCTGGAGCCAAGTTACTTAGTTAGGACTTGACTCTTCATGTAGTGGGGAGCCTTCCAAGGGTTTTTGAATAAGGGAGTGATACAATCGCATTTACATTTTAGGAAGGCCACTTTACCATGGCCACCCAGACCCTAGTGTGGACTTTTTCTGTTTTGCCATGGATTTGGCTTCAGGCCTTTGCAGTAAGCCTACCACTCAGACTCTTCAACTACCCAGAGCAGTTTCCCAAAGAATAGAAATAGCATTATATTGGAAAGAATCCAGATTTGGAATCAGGATACCTTACTTTAAATCCAAGTTTTGCCTCTTTCTTGCTATGTGATATTGGATAAGTTGTTTAACATTTCCAAATCTCTGTTTTCTCAATTATAAAATGAGAACGGTATTAATAATAATGCCTACTGAACATGACAATTGTGAGAGACCAATATATGAAAAAAGTATGTGAAAGTACTTTGTAAATTACAAAATTGTATACCTTTTTATGATTGAATATTTTTAATCAAGTCTGGAGTTAAAAACTGGCTCAAGAAAATAACTTCTTTATAATGTAGTGCTACACCTGTACTTAAAGTATTCTGCTTGTCAACACCAGGCTCAGATATGAATAGTTTTTTCCATTGTGGAGATATCTACACTAATAAAAGAGAAACATGGTAATTGGCGTACAACCGCTACCCTTCCCATTGGCTAATCAGCATATCCTTATGCAAATTAACTGTCAGCCAAGATGGCGGCCGGCAGCCAGGCAGCTGGAAG